CTAATACACAAGTAAGCAAAAATACATAAACATCAGAAAAATGTCACCAAGAATAATTGATGAACAAAAAAAGGGGAGGATTATAAGTGTTTCCCATGAACTGGATCTGGCCCCCAGGAGAGGCAGAGCTGGCTCTCCAGGCTGAGTAAAGTCCCATCCAAGGGTGCCACCTGGCGGTGAAGTCATCCCAGCAGAGATGCTGGGAGAGCTGCCAACTGCCTAGGAGCTGCAGCAGCCGCGGGCAGCCAGCCAACGAGATACATTTGCCAATATTGAAGAACTGTGATTAAAATCTCAGCAAAGGGGGCATGGATCCCCTGAAGAACACCTTCCAGTTTCCCTCAAGAGAAAAGGTCAACTTTAACCACCTGCCAAGCCCAGAAAGTTCCTGGGCATCAGGAAATCAGCACAGTATCAGTCAGGTAAGAAGCTTCCTGTCCTTTCTCTCCCCTCCCCCTGCAGCCCCATCCTGGAACCAGAGGCAGCTGGATGAGTAAGGAAAGAGGAGGAGAAACTCCAGATAGAGAAAATGCTCTTCTTTCTGGACCCAAGTAGGGAAGAGAAGGAAATCCAGCGTTCAAGGAAATAGGCGTCCTGATTACTGAAATAAGATCATTTGCGTAAACAGAAGAAACAAGAGAACTTCTTTTTTTTTTTAAGATTTTATTTATTTTTACACAGGGTGGGAGGGAGGGAGAAAGAGAGGGAGAGAAACATCAGTGTGTGGTTGTCTCTCACACGCCCCCTGCTGGAGACCTGGCCCCACAACCCAGGCGTGTGCCCTGACTGGGATTCGAACCAATGACCCTTTAGTTCTCAGGCCGGTGCTCAGTCCACTGAGTCACACCAGCCAGGGTGGAATGTGAGAACTTCTTACTGTCCAAGCACCATCCTAAAAGTCAATGGCATCTGCCAGAGATCTCATCCCAGGAGGAAGAGAAGAGACAGCCCCACAGAGAATGTTAAAAGGCAACAAAGGAAGGAATAGAGTTGTCTTCTAACTGGATCCTGTGAGTCCTCCTTGTTCAACACAAGTTACACAGAGGGATAGAAAAAGACAATATAGAAAGACTTCACCTAAAAAACAGAGCATCCCACTCTGTGGACATACAGAGCCTGCAAGACCACCTGGAGGAACCATTAAATGCGCTGCTGAGCTTTTGGCCTTAGTGAATGTTTAAATTACTATCTTTCCTCAGTAACATTTATATCAGCTCTCCTTCCTCAAAACTTAAATCATTCATTAACTGGTAATATTGAAATATCTACTCTTCCTGTGAACAGCACTAGGAACTTTGGCTGGAAGGTGGAAAAAATAGTACAGAGATGTGCGATTTCACTGCCAAAGTCAGAAAATGAGAGAGACCAGCAAGCCCAAGGACACAAAGTCAGGAAAGCACAGACAAAATAATAACTCACATGTATAGCAAACATTTATTGGGGGCTCCTTATATGTAGAATCTCATTTAATCTTCACAGCAACCTATGAGTACAGTGAGGCAATATGATGGATGAGAGCCTAGCCTTTGCTCTTGTAAAATGTGCCTGGCATATTATAAGTACTCAATATAAGTTATATATTAACACAGGTGCTATTAACATGGGTGCTAACATGTTAGCATGGGTGCTATTATTATCACATTTTATAGGTGAGGGGATGGAGACTTAGAAAGGTTAAGTTAATTACTGGGCATGATTTAGCAAGTAAGTGGTGAAGGCAGGATTTGAACCCAGGGATCTGACTCCAAGGTCCTTATTCTTAACCTAAGGGCTTTGATGCCCACTCATCTCCCCTCGACCTCTCTGTCTCTGAGACCCAGTTGCCCAAGAAGCCCGTTCTGTACTTCATCTAGGTAGTACCTTGCTGCCAGCCAGCTGCCAACCAAACCCTAAGCCAAAGTGAGGCTGATAGCTGGGATACTGAATGTAGCACTGCCAGGAGCCTTGGCCTTTACAGGAGGGTTTTAAGGACTGAAAAGATGAAGGACAAATGTCCTGATGAAAGGAAATGGACTTTCATTTCGTGGGATTTTCTTGAACCAGAAATGAGAGAGAGAAGAAAGGAGAGAAAGATGACAACAGTAAAAATCACATCTTTTGATATCACTGTCACAAATGACTGACTTCTCCATTGCTGGCTTTGGCCCAAAGCTGAACAGTAGATGAAGCTGGGTCTTCTGAGATGGGTCTGGAAACTGCTTCTTACCGCCTTTGAAGAAAGAGCTCAAAATTATGCAGAGAAGAAAATGAGCAGAGAGGAGCAGGCTGCACCAAGATAATGGGTCTAACATCAATTAATCTCCATGGCAGGGGGTTCAATTGTGACCCACCCTTCCCTTTCATTTAGGCTTCAATTGTATATGACAATCTTCATGAATATTACGATTCCCCATTCTCCCCAATATCTTTTCTCTTCTCTCCCCCAAGCCTCTCTCTGAACCAGCTCGTCCTCCTCCTCTCAGGAAACACATGTTGGACTGAAATGAACTCAAGGTTGTGGCTCTGGCCCTTGTACCTTCAAGATGCTTCACTGCAGCCACATTCAACACTCTTGAGACTCAAGTCCATCTTCTAACAAATTTGTTCTGTTTCCTCAGCACCCATAAGTACCCAAAATACCTCGGAGTCATCTTTCATAATTTTCTTAATTTTTCATTAACCAAATCCCATAAATTTGCCTCTTTAATAATATTCCTGTCATTGGCACCTTCTTCCTACCACCACCTCTGCCTTCTTTCAAACTTGGAGATTTTTATCATTTCTTTGAACAGGTTAGTTCAACTTTTGCTCTACGACTCCAACCCCCCAATCCAGCCCACACTTTGCTGTCAGAAATAACTTTCAATACCCTAGACATGTCATATCCCAATTTTAACCAAAAGTCGCTCCTGATTCATCAGTGAATGACTGCCAGGGTGAACTTCCTGGAACTGAGTTCAAGACTCCATGTGTCTGAGCCCCACTTGCCTTCCCCACAGCAACCTCCTATTCCCACCCCAGACACAACCCTATACCAACCACAAAGACGCTGGCCAAGGCTTTGGAAAGGCAAGGAAGGGGCTTTCTCAGAGGCAAAACTTTCTCCTCTAAGACAAGATCTGGGGTTAATCCAGTAGGTCATGACTGGTCAGGAGCATCAAACTCAACTTCTTTACAATAGGCAGTGTTTGTTTACCTTGGATATCAAGAGGAGTCCATTCTCTGACTGAAAGGAAAAAATCACAAACCCCAACAAACGGTGAATTATTGAGGAAAAAGAGCTAAAGCAATCCTTGAACTTGGGCCAGGGCATATTGGTTGGTAAAATGAGGTTTCAGAATCTCATATTAGAAAAATAAGGAGGAAAGGAGAACCAAAAGGGCTGTGATCAATCCAGGGAGCCTGTCCTAGAAAGGGGGAGAAGGGGCAAGTTCAAAGGGGTTAAAATTGAGGAGGCTGGGGGAGAAAGAGAGACCACTTGTAAACGGAGCTTTTCTGCTGCTGGCCGCAAGGAGCCTCCCTGTCCCTGAGGTTCAGTGGTCTTCATCATGGCCTGATTTCACCAGCACAAATGTTGAGGGGCCCAAGGAGAGGACAGGACAGCAAAGGGGGTGATTAATCACAGTCTATTCTCCTGTTTAAGGGCTTAAGTCGAGTTAGAGGCTCTGGAGTCACACAACAATCACTACTTGATGATGCAGTGATGAGGTCACAAGTGGGGCTCCCCTTCCCCCACCACTGGCTTTCTCATTGCTGGACAGAGGAACCAGAGGGAAAATCCACCTTCCCGAGCACGGCCGTACCATCCGCCTCACTCGACTACTTGTCAAGTCCAGCACCAACACAAAAAGGTGAGTTGCATTTACAACTGGAAATGCCCCCTCGTTTGCCTCTCCTTTCCTGGGTGTGACCTACAGCAAGCACCCCAGGCATCGAACAAGGCTGAGATAGGAGCTATGTTCAATCAGGGGCATGTTTCCCCTCACTTTCAATAGCAAGAACAGGCATACATGTCATTCAAAGGGAAATCCTTAACAATTTTAGAGTTCAATTCAATGACCTTTATCTTCAGAGAGCAATACTGATTCAAAGACTAAATTAGATAAAAATTTTATTTTTATACTGTTAAAAGAAATCAAGTTGTGTCAATTAGATCCAACTTGCAAGTCTTATCAGAAACTGAAAAATCCTGTCATATTTAGAAGTCAAAAGGCCCATAGAAGACCCAGCTAAAGATGAAATCAATAGAGAAAAAAGGAGTGCCTGCTTACAATTATATTTTATGGCTCTAACACTTATATTTTCAGAGAAATTCAATTTTTTTCAGTTTATCACATCCACTCTTGATTTCCTCTCTTACCCTAATCACTGTGGGGAGGAGTTTCTAGGCCGGTCCAGGGGAGCTCAGCCAATGGTCTTCCCGTCCCCAGGTCTTGAGTGAAAAAATCAATTCTCAAGGTTTTGGGGACTTAGGCTAGACACAGGATTGAAAGACATGTCCTGAGTCCCTAAGCCCAACAATATACCCAGAAGGATGGGAAGGTGAGTCCTTTAAAACCTTTGTTGTGCCATGAAGGACCTCAGCAGCCTGATCCAACTTATGGACTCTTCAGGATGTTTTTAAATTAATTAAATAAAATGCACGAGGTTACAGAAGATACCAAGTATACTCATAAGTACATGGTTAAACACAGTTCTTATGGTTGTGGTGGTGGTTCCCAGAACGCTAGGTTAAGAAGTCCTGCTAGGGGGTGTGAAACGGGGGCAAAAGTGAAAAAGCAGAGGAAGAACAGAGAGATCAAGAACTGTGGTCACCGGCCCACTGAAAAAGCAAGAGCACAGACAGCGCTGAGGTGAAAATTTGGTCGAGAGCCTGCACACATCCCTGGAAAGTTTTCTTGAGAACAAGGATGGGCAGGAGGTGTGGGAAAGCTCTCCTGGTCCCCTCCCACTTTGCAACAGGGTCTCCCACATACAACCTGTCGCATATTTCTTTGCAGGGCCCAGAAAAGCAAGAAGGAATGTCGAGTGATGATAAAAATAAACCTAGTGATCCCAAGAATGAGCCCAAGAACTGTGACCCCAGATGTGAGCAAAAGTGTGAGACCAAATGCCAGCCCAGCTGTCTAAAGAAGCTGCTGCAACGGTGCTCTGAAAAGTGCCCGCGGGAAAAGTGCCCGCCACCACCGAAGTGCCCGCCGTGCCCCCCGCCGTGTCCCCGGCCATGCCCTCCGTGCCCTCCGCCATGCCCGTGCCCCACACCCTGCCCTCCCAAGCTCTGTGCCAAGCCTTGTCCTCCCAAATGCCCACCGCCCTGCCCACCCCCGGAGTGAGGCACCAAGGACGTCACCCAGCCCCACGCCTCCATCACCTCCACGCGTTCACCACCTTGGGGCTGAGAACTGAAGCCATGGACTGACAAGTAAATGTGTTCCTCTGCTGTGCAAGACTTGCTTCTCCTGGTTTGTTTTGTTTTTCTTTTTGTGGGGGGGGGGTTTTAGCAGTTTTTGATTTATCTGTTGTTTTCCAGCACTAAACCATCAAGAAGCGATCCCCGGGAGAGTGAGGCTAGGACTCCAGCCCTCCACAATCAACAACCTTTGAAGACGGTGCCTCCTCTGGCCCCACCTGTTGCATAAAGAGATGTGGTGTCTCCTGAGGGGTGCACCCAGGAAACACCTGCCAGTAAGAGCACAGCCTGGGGGAGCCAGACATATGGCTTTGAAAGTGGCCAGCCCCAGGGACCTGAGTGGGCATGAGGGTGCAAGAGGGTGTTAGGGGGAAAGAGGAGTGGGATGTTAGGGAAGGTGCGGGAAGGCTCAGGAAAAGAATCCTACCCTTTACTTTTAGTCCCATTGCCTACTGCTTGTGCACAGCTTGATTTCCTCCTGAAAACATGCTGCATGGGATTAAACTCCAGCTCTGCTCCCTAACTACTTTGTGACCTGAAGCAAGTTGTTTAATTTCTCTGAGCCTTAGTTTCCTTCTCTCTGTACAAAGAATGATGGTGCTAATTGTGCTGCTGTCATGGAGTACTTATGTGGTGTAAGGAGTTAAAGGCCAAGTGCCTGGCTTACCGGGACATAGCAATTTCTTGGTGAGGGGGGCACGCTGCACCTGCCCAAGTGTGACATCACATCTGAACTTGATTGCCCTGTGCCAATCTTCCTCATCAGCCTGCAAGTTTCTGAGTGCAGCAGTCGGGTTCTAACTTACACCTGTAAGCATGGCCAGGCATTGTTTTAAAAAATGAAAAAGGAGTTATAGACTACACTAATGTTAGTTAGCCGGCTTTGACAAAGAGCTGCATTTATGTAACATGTTACCGTTGAGAGAGTTCCAGTGAACGGTGAAGTGGGACCTCTATTTTTGCAACCTTCTGTGAATCTATAATATTTCAAAAGGAAAACTTAAGTATAAAAAAATAGAGAAGAGGATAAATCTGGGAGAACCTCAATTTGGAATGAACAAGAAAAACATTCCCCCTGATAACGTTAGTGGGGATTGTTTACAAGTAGCTTAAGAGAGTGGACACCAAGCAGCCTAATTCACCAAAGGGAATCTATCATTTCAAGTGTCTGGAAAGGATATTAGGGTGAAGAGAGGGGCAGAGAACTAAAGAGAGAACTATAGGAACCAGGACTTCAGGAGCTTGGACTCACTGCCACCATTTCGATCTCCCTCATCTCCGTCAGTCTCCACTCCTTTCCAGGGTGTGTCTCCTCCTCAAGGGCCCCCTCCATGTGGTGAGGTCTTTAGCCAGGTGCAGACCCAGCTTGTTGATGGGTTTGTGCATGAGGTGCTCCTCTTATTTCCAGGAAAGAAAACTGATTGCTAGGAGGACATGAGCCCACCCTTGAGACCAAAGTGATAAGAGCTTTCCCACACCACTGTAGCCTGCAACATGCAAGTGGAAGTAGGTTTAGGATTCTCTGCTGTCACAGTAAGAGGTAATGAGAGGCCTGATCTGGGGCGGCTCCCTGTGCAATCGCAGCACATGAACAGCTTTCCATCCTTTTGAGTCTAGAGGATGGTTCAGGACAACAAAGGGTGCAGTGAGTGCAGAGGGTCTAAAATGTGCCCAAGACAAGACACCTATGATCCCCACTAGACCAAGGTCGTTGCAGAAGCAGACTTTTAGGACAAAAGAGCTGACAATGCCTTTAGGGTGTGTGTAATCCCCTCATTTTCCAGATGTGCGAATTGCTGGTTATTTTCTCTGACATGAGGGGGGCCTGGGGTCTTGGTCCCCCAGCAGGAACAGGAGCCTGGCACCCACATGCCAGGACCTGCAGAGAGGTGCCTCCTGGACACTGGAACCTCTGGAAGCCTAGTTTAGGGCATTAGGGGCCTGTTGATAACAGGTTGAAAATTCTTCCACCCTCATCATCTCTGAAAAATAAAAGGGAGGGAAACAGGAAAGAAATAAAATAATAATGTGACATCCTCTTTCATCTATTTAATGATCATTTTTAAATAACAAATCCCAGAGTCCCAGTGCTAAAGAGTATGCCAGTGTTGGTGAGAGTGTAAATAGACAAAAATCCTTTCAGAAAGAATTTGAGGAATATGGAAATAATAATTGAAAGCATAAAATGATTCAAACAATTGTTCCATGTCTTGAAAGCTATGTAAGAAAAAATAATTCCAAAATGGGGACAGAAGGGTTATATAACGCTCATTATCACAGTGTGACTTAGAAACAATTTAAGTATCTAATGGATTTGATTAAATAAATGCAGACCTTGTTACTTGATGGGACACACCATGATCATTAAAATGTATTAAAGGGGAAGAAAGTAAGGCTCCAATTCAATGTATAGCATAAAGCAACTATGTTTAACCAAAAAACTTCTATAAATAATAATTATAATAATAATAGAAGGGAATTTGTCAATATTCTAGTTATTTTAAGACAATAAAGTTGTGGGTAACCAGTGGAATGTGTTTATTTGTCACTAGTCTGGATTTTCATTATTAGGTTTTTAGTTAGTTTGTAATAGAAAAAAGAATAATATAACCATGAAAACTTCAGAGACCTCCAAAGTCCTTTCATTTGCTCAATGAACAAAAAAAAAGGGGGAGAGGAATAATGTCTTCCTACACCTGAACACACCATGTAGAAGGTGCCCCCACCTTGGGTGCCCTCCTGGGAGGTGCAGGATCTCCTTCTCTCCCAGGCTTCCCAGTGGCTCCACAGCAGTGTCTCACAGGGGCTGGTGCCCTCCCAGGTGGCTCTGAGGACTCCAGACTTAGACTGGGTGGCAGCCAGCTCTGAGAACATGAAACCATCCATTTGCCAATTTATTTTCTTTTCTCCCATGTAAATGAAACCAAAGATAGACATCTCTTAATGGCTACTTTCCCAGCCGAAAGCGGGATCAAAGGCAGTTCTGGGGAAGATGGTTAGAACGTGATGAGTGTGCCACCTCCCTGAAGAATGCCATCATTACTCCCAGCCCCAGCTGTCGCCACCAGGCCCTGCCCCAAGTGGAAGAGGGTTGTATAAATAAATAAGCAGCACCTGAAGAGGTGGTACCCTGAGAATCTGTGCAGCGCCCAGGGGCTGATGGCTCACAAGTCATGTGATGGGGTAGGACCCAGCCTTCTCCTTTCAAGGAAAGGCAGTTCTGGGGGTCCATTAGGACTGCAATGAGAGGAGACTTTACCACAAACTTTCTTGCATCATGTTTTCTTGAGAATCGGACAGCATACAGCCACTTTGCAAAAGGACTTCTAAGTCCTCCCAAGCCAAGCCAGCTGGGTGGCTGGCTGCACGGTGGGTCAGTGCTATGAAAGGGCCATCCAGAACCACAGGAATGTGTTAGGAATCTAGGAGCTGTAGAGGTCATTTCCATGCATTCCCCACCTCCACATTGCAAATGACAACTGAGGAGATGGCAGGAAGTAACCAGTGACCAATCCTGTCTTACTTTCCTGTCCTGCATCCACATGGCCAACATTCCAGCTAGAGACATGAGCCCATCCTAGGAGGCTTTACTGACAATGACAAGGCATAGCTGCTTCTATGTCACAGCTATTGATGCTCAAGCAAATAAACAGGTTGATAATACAGTAAGTCAATCACCAAGATTCTTAAGGCACAAGCTGGTCATAAAATGCATACTACATTATTTTCAGCTCCGCCTGTCTTCCAGGTGCATGGGACCTCAGACACCTCACATCCAGAGCTCTGTGCTCTGTTGGGATCAAAGGAAATTCTGCTCAGACTGAGGATTCATGGCTTTTTCCACCAGAAATGTCCTCATCATCTCTCACCTATGCCAATCTGAGCCTCTGAACTGGCTTCTGAAGCTCCAAGCTCACCTCCCTCTGTTCCTCCTTCCAATGGAAGTCAGCCAAGGCAGTCTTGCTAAAAAATTTAAATATCTCACTCTCTTGCTTAAAACCCTTAAAAGACTCTTAGTTGCCTATAGAACTGCTCAAGTGGCATAATCTGTCCCACAAAATGTTCAGGATCTGACCTTTCCTCCTCTTCTAGCTCCATCTCACCCCTTCTCTAGCTCCTTCTAGAACTTTGCAGCACAACAACAGGTAACTGCTGGCATTTCCTGGCACACAACAGAGAGTTTCTGGCCTTTGTGATTTTATACTTGTTTCTCCTCTATTACTCTTCCTTTTTCCACTGAATCATTCTTTAATGATGTACTTAGGCAAGTCCTTATCTCTGAACCCAATGTAGGGGTCACCTGCTCCAGAAAGCTTCCTCCACCTTCCACCCACAGGCTGGTTAGATTTTCTGTGGTCTCAGAGCCTCCATGCCTTTCTCTCCTATAATGCTTACCTTGCCATATCTTAGTCATCTGGTTACACTGGACTGTAAGCTCTTTGAGAGCAAAGACTGCCTAACATAGCAGACATTCAATAATAAAAAAATGAAAAAAATAAAAAAATAGAAATAAAATAATAATAATAATAATAAATGAGTGAAATGCTCAGCCGCTTTGGAGGCACTTTTCCAGGAGCCCCATCCACCGTGCTCCTTACCCTAACTACATGGTGTCATTCCCAGAATTCAGAGGTGGGAACAGGGTGAACAAGCTGAATGTGGGGGCTGGGGGCTGAGAGACAGGCATCCCTGGCCTTGGTCACTTTCCCCTTAGGCAGCAAGATTCAGATCCTCCCTGCCCTCCCCTTGGCCTCACCTCGGAAGGCAGCACAGTAAAGGGAGAGAGCTTGTCATGACAGAGGTGGATTCAAAGTGAGCTCTACACTCCCAGCTGTGTAGCCCAGGCAAGCTGTTTCACCTCAGTGGGAGAAGGGGTCTTGGTTTCTTCACTTGAAGAATGAGAAGAAAAGTCTCACCAAGGTT